CTGCAGCGCGTAAATTAATACATGTAATTTATTCGTTATAACAGATGTGCTGTAGATCATACACGATGGGAGCTGTATCAGATCTCTCCTGGTAATGCTTTTTAAATTGGGTCACGCTCTACTTTGGAACCATCGAGTCTCTGCATTCACAAACTGTACTCCTCAGAGGAAGAAAAGGGGACGGGGGGCCACGAAGGTGTCGACAGTGCCAAGGACATAGGAGACGTACTCGAACAGCAGTTAAGATGCGGCGGTAGAAACAGAGGGATTGCATAGTTCGGCAGCATTGTCTTTCGCAGGTTTTCCTACTGAGCCTCCTAGTTTCCTTTTTAAAAGTACCTGCAAAGCCATAAAACCTTGCCCCCCCCCCCACCTCCGTGTCACTCCAGTGGCTTGTTAGATTAAGGAGCGAGATGAGAGGTCTATTTTTACAAATGAGGGGGTGAGGAAAAGTGAGACGGAAGGTGAGATTTTATGAGACAGAGGCAGGAGCTGAGTTTGTGTTGTGTTCACTGTGAGCACACATTCTCGATCAAAATGCGCCGCGTTATGAAAGTTTCTCAGTGCCTTTTTGGTTTCGAGGGACGACCTTCGCTTAAAGTCAAGATATTTAAAGAAAGGAGGAAAAGAAACATTGAACACAAATTCAGTATTGCTAATCTATTATTATCTTCAAGTCTTTCTACTCGTTTATAAAGAAATTACGCTATCCCCTACATTATATGAGTCAGTAGAACTTTCTGTAATTTCTGGAATGAAACTAATATCCTGAAGCAGGCATGGCGGGTCAAGCACTGGCCCACGGAAGGAGGAAAGACACGATAAAAACAATGAGAGAAACAGAGAGAGGTAATGACAGGAGGAGGATAAGAGGAAGAGAGAAGGACGACGGCCACAGAGACGTCAGTTTGGAGCCTCGGGTCACCTCATCAGGACTCTTCTGCTTCTCCACGTTTGGCCTGCAAATGATCAGTGGCCTGACCTGTGATATGCTCTCCTGAAAGGCAGTCGCAGGAGAGAACTGAGATAGACCTCAATTTCTCTGTTTGTACTTCATTTTTAGACCCTGAATGAGCAGACTAACTAATTAAAGCAACAGGGAAGTAATAGTATGAACCTGGAAAATTCTGTGCATTCAGTGAGTCAGAAAGGAGCTACAGTTTTAAATTAGATCCATAAGTATTGGGATAATGACACTTTTCTGGGGGGCAATTTTCTTCCTCTGTACACCACATAGTAGATTTAAAATCAAACAATCAATATTCAAGACTTTCAACTTTAATTCAAGGGGTTTAACAAAAGTACTGAATTAACTGCTTTACCATTTCTATAAATATTAAGCCATATTCAAAGGCTCAAATATAATTGGACAACTGACTCACAAGCAGCTCGTTATTTCATGACAAATAAAGCACATAATATCTGAATTTTTGTGAATTTCAAATATGAATGAATGAATGAATGATACCTATAGCAAAAGGCCTGAAGGACCACAGAAGATGACTAAAAGTGCAAGATGGCAGGATTATTTCAATGGTTAAGAGACAAAACATCACAACATCTAAACAAGTCGAGAACACTCTCAAGCAGGTAGGTGTATCATTGGGTCTCCAATCAAAAGATGCTTTTGTTAATGGAAACAGATGTTTGGTGCAAACCACTGGTTACAGGCTCAAGCGTCAGAAAACGTGAAAGAGCCAAGTGTACATATGTTTGGACAGACAAAATCAAGACTGACTTTTATCACAATGATGGACGAGAAGGGGAAAAGTTAGTATGTCAAGCACGGTGGAGGCAGTGTTATGACATGGATATACTGTCCATGTTGTGTTTATTGATGATGTGACTGCTGATAGAAGAGGACAACGAATTCTGAAGTGCAGAGGGAGTTATACTCTCTGCTCAGATTCAACCGAATGCTGCAAGCTTGATTGGACAGTGCTTCAAAGTTCAAATGGATAATGATACAAAGCAGGCTGCAAAAGTTTTTCATGGCAAAGAAATAGAATTTTCTACAGTGACCTGATGTCAACTGAGTGAAACACTCTTTTGGAGTATTCAACTAAATGCATAAAATTAATGCAAATTTGAATAAAAACCTCTTGAATTAAAGCTGAAGGTCTGCACCACAATCACATCTTGATTGCTTGATTTTGATTTTTTTTTTTATTTATTTATTCTTACCTCGAGTATGGTTCTGCTGTGTGCTCTGTCAGGACTAAGCCTCAGATTCCATCGATGGGATCTATGGCTTCGCCCGCCATCATCCTCGCTCTCCGTGGTGTCTTGTCGCGCTACTCGAGGACGTTTCCGTCTCCGTGAGCTGATTCGCTGGAGAGAACCAGGCTCCTGGAGTCTGAACAAATTGAGTCAAAGGCACAAGGTCAGATACAGTAAGGCACAGCGCAGCACACTGTGTGAATATGAACGCGCCGGTGACCTGCAGTCTGTATCCTCTATATCCGCATCTGCGTCACTCTCCCCCTGAGGGTCAGATAACACACACTCCTCCTGCAATGGAGCGAAAAAGACAAGAAAAAATATATAATAACCAACAGAAACACAGAGGAATGTGTTAGCAGCCATTAAGCTGGGATAAAATATGACAAATACAAAAGTGTTTTGAATTTTTTGAGTTTTTAAAAAGAAAGAAACACATAAATCCCAGTGACTCATCACAGACCAACACAGTTTGTGAAACCAAATACCACTTGATGATGCCATTTGTCTGTGTGAGTGTGCTAATGCGTCACTTTTTATATTACCACCATTGTTATTAAGCATGAATCAGCTCACACCTCTATCCATAACGTAATGAAGTCAGAGAGTATTTATATCCCAACAGTACCAGTCTTTTTACTTCTTTCTGTCACACAGATAGATAGATAGATAGATAGATAGATAGATAGATAGATAGATAGATAGATAGATAGATAGATAGATAGGTTATAAACTATATATACAAACTATAAACTATACTGAATAACAGGGATAACTCAAAAATCATTGATTTGTTCCTATTCCAGAACACAAAATATATCACTGAATACTAAACTGTATATTATAGTAACAAGAACTACTGCCACGCTGTACTGAAAATATAAGTTTAGCATTTAAAATTTTTTTTTAAAAATGAGCTATTAATATCATGTGCTGTGTGTTTTTATCTCTGGCCAAAAAATGCAAAAAAATGCAGTTCCCGTAATGGCCACTTGAGGCTGAATCCAAAAGCAAGTCACCACAGCGCCCTATGTTAAAATGGCTAATTTTGCAACACAACTATAAATTGTTACAGCCTGCTACCGAAAAAAATCTCCCTTTTCAAGACTGCCTTACATTTCCATTTTTTAATATAACTCATAGGTTTAAATTATAGCAAGGCTTACAGTTTCCATTGACTGAGGGTGTGGCCTCAAATGAGTAGGTGGGTGCAGACACAACTATAGCAGCTAGCTGCATGACAGTGATATAGCAATGATTTTTGTACAACACAGTACTGCGATATTTTGTGATTTTTTTTAAGAATACCAAATATTGATAACTTTTTTAAATATAAACAGCATAGACAAACTAACGTTTTTAGCATTAAAAAAATCACTTTGCGTGGGGCTGCATGGCGTCAACGCAGTTAGCTTGTTCACTCATTAGTACCATGCAGCCCCACAAACAAGGTGATCCACGATAACTCCCTAACAGAGACTTGCAGCGTTAATGTGGTTATGGTGTTAAGGCAATTTTAACGAGATTAACGCTGACTGCACAGCATGTTAGAATAGATGCACTCTGCTAAACAAGCTACCTAGTTCAGGCTAGTTTTAAGTTCAGGCTACAGTAAACAGATAAAGGCATTTTATTAAATGATTTCATTATATTTGACTTGTTTGGTAAAGTGCTCATGTTTCCCCTTATCTTGGATATTGTTTCATGTGAGGGTAGCTAGCATTATCACCATCAATTCAGGAAAACTGTATCACAAATCAAATCACCCACCTCACTGTTTAAAATATTTGCGGTGCTTATTTCCATTTTGATACGTATTAGCCAATTATACAGAGTTGTGCAAAAGTCTGGAGTCCCTCCTAATTTTAACTATTTGCTTTAAAGAGCCAGAATTTTTATTTTATTTTTTAAAGTGGTCTTGAGCAACAGTACTCCAGCCTTTCTGGAGCTCTTCCACAGTTTTTCTTTGGTACACAGGCTGCTTTTTCCCCTCTTTCTGTCAGTCCAGTGGCTGACACTTTGGTATTCGCAGCCTGTCACAAAACACAAAACTTGTACTCATTTGTGAAATCTGTGCAAGATGCCAGAGGAAATAAACTATTTGTGCACCAAAAAGGGTATTCCCAAAGAGCTATTACCCAAAAACCTGGCATAACACTGGATGTCCTTTAAAAAAAATCTGAGGAAGCTAGACAAGTAGAGGACAGAAGAAGTGTCAGGCCTAAAAATCTAACCACAGCAAGAGCCAAACTGAAAAACAATAGCAACAGGTCCGCTGGAGTGAGGAATCCAATTTTTGTTTGTTTGTTTGGTTTTGAGGAAGTCAGGAGAGAGGAACCTAAGTGAGTGTGTATGAAGCATGGTGGAGGCTCCATCATGGCTTGGTGTTGCATTTCAGCCAGTGGTGTTGGAGATTTTGATCTAGGACAAAGAAGAACTTTGAATGTCCTTCAAGAAGCTTGGAGAACTATTCAAAAATTAATTAAAGAAAGATTGTCTAAGAGATTTCAAGCTGCATTGAAAAATAAAGGTTGTACTAAATATTGACTTTCAAGCTCTGTTTTTGATTTATATGCTGTATTTACCTGTATGTTTGTGCATGTTAAGATAAGATAAGATAAGATAAGATAAGATAGGATTAGATAATTCTATTCTAATAGAATAGAATAAAATAAAATACTATATACAGTAGAATAAAATAGAATAAAATGTACAATAGGATAAAAATAGAACACAAATTCTATATACAACTGAGTAAAAATACAACTTTGTCAGAAAAGTTTCAGTATTTGCCTCAAAATATGACAAAATATAGATATGTCAGGGCTGGCTCAAGACTTTTGCACAGTGCTGTATATCAGTTAGCAATAAATGGTCCAACCCTAGTTTTTAGATACTGAAAATCCTTTTTGAAAATGTCTATCACTGGCATGAGCATCAATCATCTGGCCTAAGTGAACCCTGGTATTACTCATGTACTGCTCACATGCTGGAATCTTAAAAGCCTATAAAAATGCCAGCTGCCTGCCAGGAAATCAACACAAATATCAAAAAGTCTTATAACGTGTTACATATCTGGACTCCACACTCAGCGCTCTGCAACAGCATTAAGTAGCTGCACACAGAGCACTGTCATAAAGACACGCACACATATGCTACACATTACCTCTGTGCCGTATCCCTCAGAGTACCTGGTTACCATCACTTTGTTTTTTCCACAGCGTTCACACAGCCGCGTGTCCTGAGAACAGAAAGCAGGAAGAGAGACAGACCTACTGATTAGATTCACACCTTGGGAAAAAAACCAAAATGAAAAGCTAACACGTGATTCGTCGATATCTGTGAACAGGTACTTTAAAATAAAACAGGGCAGCGACAAAGATGCAGAGAGGTCGTCGGGCAGCATTTAGAGCCTGATTACAGATGAAGAAACACTCTCAGATCTGAGCGGGTTGAGCGACGGCCACAGACACTTAAGTGGAAAGCCTGAGCACTCACCGGCGTAGGCGTGTGTGCTTCTGAATAAAGTGTACAGGGACCGGCCTCGCACAGACACGCTACATCTACCTCTCTGCAACTCACCCCCATCTAAGACAGAGAAACAAAGACAGGGAGGATAAACAACTGTGATCTGTTGACTTGATGAAGCTTCTGGTCCCTTTTATCCTTAGACAGCAGCATAATGACAGACATAAAGGAAAGGAGTAAGAAGCTTGTACAAACTTACATAAGGTACAGCAATATCACTGTCACATGACCTGGGATGAGCCTGGCTGTTGGATATCATTGGCAAAAGTTTTCATATCTCTGTCAACAGCTCAGAGGAGAGATTTATAGCTTTTGACCTTATCTGCCTACTCACTTAAAAACGCTTGACTGCCAAGTGCTGAACACTAGAGTTATTAAAAGGAAAAAAAAATAACACAATTAAGTCAAAAAGTTGAGCTATTACGTGTTCAGCAACTGGACCTGTGGGTTCCTTCGGTTACATTTTGTGTCAACTGCAGCCTACTTTAGAGCCACATGCAGATCTTAGAGGTAGCAGGTATAAATAAACAGCCTCACCTCACAGTCATTGTTGGACGTCTCTCCGAAGGTAAAGAGGCCGTGGGAGTCTGATTCCCTCCGCAACATGACCTCTGACCTGGCTCACGCACTCACATAGATTTGCTGAGACGCACAAACAGCACACAGTCAGGTTCAAAGCTTGTCATCACTTAACCGTGAACACCTTGTACTCGGTGTCTTCTTCTGATGCTGATACTTAGCAATGTGCTGAAAACAACAGAGTGACTAAAAGTAGTTACCCTATTCCTGATTTCTTAGGGTTTGTTTTTTGCATATTTGTCACACTTACATGTTTCAGAGCATCAAACTAATTCTAATATTAGACAAAGGGAACCAGAATAAATACAAAATGCATCCGTTGCAACAAGTTGTTCTGAAGCAGCAAAGCAGCCCTGACTATCACACCACCACCACCATGTCTGACTGTTGGTATAATGTTGTTTCATGAATTGCTGTGTTAGTTTTTTGCAGATGTAACGGGACTCAAACTTTCTAAAAAGTTCAGCTTCTGTCTCATCAGTCCACAGAATATTTTCTCGGAACTCTTGGGGATCACCAAAATATTTTTTGGTAAATGTGAGACCTGCCTTTGTGTTCTTTTTGCTCTGCAGTGGTTTTCTCCTTGACCTCTCCCATGCAATCTGATTTTTACCCATTCTCTTTCTTATTGTTGTATCATGAACTCTGACCTTAACTGAAGCAGGTGAGGCCTGCGGTTCTTTAATGTTGTTCTGCGGTCTTTCGTGACTTCCTGGATGAGTCGTCCGGGTGATCTTGGAGTAATTTTGGTAAGCCACTCCTGGGAAGGTTCACCAGTGTCCCACTGTTCTCGAGTCCCAAAACCTTAAAAATGGCTTTGTAACTGTTTCCAGACTGACAGATGTCAATGACTTTGTTTATCAGCTGTTTCTTTAGATCAGGACATGATGTGTTGCTTTTTGAGATCTGAGCCTGCTTCATTTTGTCAGACATCTTCTACTGAAGTGATTTCTTGATTCGGCAGGTCTGGCAGTAGCTAATGAACCTGAACTCGATTTAACAACGCGGGGCAATTCGTTTTGCACACAGGGGTTGCAAAGCTTCATTTTTACTTTTATAAATAAAGTCATCATTTAAAAAACTCATTTTTTTTATTTTAATCAGTTATCGCTGTGTAATGTTAAAATGTGTTTGATGATCTAAAAGAAGTAAGCATGACAAATAAGGGGAAAAAATCAGAAAGAGAGTACATGCATTTTCACAGCACTGCAGATATTATAAAAGTATGAGCAACATCAGTAGCAACATTAGACATTTATATATTTTCCAGCTAAAAATGCAAGCACAAATCACTTAAATGTTCTTCTGTTTTTAGCATGTATTTGTTCAATGAGGACCTGTAATTAAATGACTTTTTTTCTTTAAAAAAACAGTAATAATTCAGTCATAGCTGGGTCAACTAACAGCCTGGAAAACCGTGAAGTGTTGTGCTTTGAGTGAATCAGTGAGGGGATAAATGCGTTATTTGGCTACAAACTTGGTGTTACAGGGGTGTGCAAATTACTACGCAAACCGCGAGCTTGTGCTATCAGAGATGTGTCATCACAGGACCTCACTGTAAAATCCGTTCAGCAGTGTCCGCACTCACATTACGTAATAGCACAGCAATCAACGTGGGGAACTTTTCCCATAAAGATACGGGGAAACACGCCGTCTGCGTTTAAAGGTTTTAATTTTTTTTAACAAACAAGAATTCAAACATCAGCTACAATTTTCAATTAAAAAACACCGCGAAATAAACTAAATGAATTACAAGTAAAAAGCAGTAATTTAGAAAAGAACAGAGTGACCCGTCTCACCTCAAACGCATCCTGTCCAAAATCGCGGAATAAAGCCATGGATGGTGGTCGTAGTTGTGGTCGTAGTTGTGTAGTATTTAGAGGATGAGCAGCAGGACGCGGCGGTGTTTGTCATTGTGGCGCGGGGAAGCCATGAGCTCGCGCTGCTTGTGAGTGTTTGACATTGTAGCAAATCCTCCGTGTGATGTCAGCGCCAGCGATGACGGGCAGCTACGGTCCGGGAAGCGCGTGCTCACTGGGATACCGAATGTTCCCAAAACAACGCGGGAGCGCGGAGAAGCAACGGCATATAACAGGGATTTCCGTCCGGTGCTTTTCAAAATAAATGCATTTGAAGCTAACCATTGCGTGCCTTTTTTGTCCCACTCATACATTTGAAAATGATAAATCTGTGGACGGAATACTAAAAAACATGTGCGAACGTTTCCTGAGAAAAAACGTAAATCCAGTTGTTGAAAAAAATGGTTTCAAAATATTACAAAGTATATCTTGAGAACTCCCCTGAAAATGGAATTTTTAGTAAAAACTAAATTACACTTAAAATATAAATAACAAGATAGGTATTATTGGATTTTTCAAAAAATCTGATGACGTTTCACAAATATTTTTTACTATCCATAATTCACAAATTCATGTTCGATGTCTTAAAATTTCAACTAACTCAAACCTGTGAGAATTTTTCTTCCAATGGTAAAACAAGTTTCCATACATTTTTATTGCATTTGATCACATTCAAAACTTGAAAGCCCACAATATCATCATGTATGTAGTGCATTTTTGATATTTCTAAAGAGGAGGATGGTGCCTTTTCACTGTATCATACAATGACTATGAACAGCACATCGCTATATTAATGAAGTACCAAATAAAAACCAAAAACTGGATACACCTGCAATTCATACAGGGAATGAATTGCATGTTAACATCTTAATTATCATCAACAGGTGTGTTGCCACAATGAATTATTAACAAAAAAAAAACCCTCAAAGTAACCCTAACATTTAACTAATTGACTGTTAGTACTGACTTTTTCTTCTCAAATAAAAAAACAAACAAATTGAGTAACATTACAGATAACAGTTTAAAAAAAATTAATAACAGTCATCTTTGTTCAGTAACAAATTTCACTTCTTTTAGTAAAATTGTATTAATCCAGAAAGAAATAAAGTAATTTAAATTCATCGCATTTCGATGTTTCTCTATTCTCAACTACATTGAAAAATATAATTTTTAATATTCTTATGAGCAAAGTTGCCATTTGAAGGTAAAATCCAAATGGCAACTTTGTCATTTGAATATTGTGACTATTCAGAGTCACATTCTTTCCTCCAATAAAACACCCATTTCTTGTGAGTTAGTATGAGCTCATGTTATATATATCCAATAACTCAGTGCTCTTAAAACATGACCTGATTCAAATGAAGGTTTTTTATATTGCGCTTTTCTACAGTACTGGAGCACTCACTGCACTGTATACAATATGCCTCATTCACCCATCATACAAGCACTTTTTTGTATGCCTAAGTGCTTTCCATCTAACAATCATACTCCTCAATACATACTACTCAACTCAGGGTTCAGTATCTTGCCCAAGGATATTTGGCATGTGGACTGCAGCCAGGGATTGAACCACCAGTCTTCCAACTAGCAGATGACCTGCTCTACCTGCAGCATCATATGATGACAAGGTGATCATTTTGAAACAGGTGTTTTGATGCCAGAAAGAAGCAGAAAGGACCACGGTGGTAATAAAATAATAATTATAAGCTCAAGGTCTTAAATCTGGATTTTTGGTCAAATTGCACATTTCTGTTTTTGAAACAAGGACATGTCCACAGGTATGCAGACATGTAGATATGGATGCAATTTTGTGTGTGTATGTTGATGCTTTTATCTACATGTAAACACCATTTCACACCACTGAAAACTGAGCTTTTGATAAAAACTCCTTCCAGAATTGAGATTTTTAACTCCTCCATTTGCAGGTGAGCAAGGAAAGGGGCATAAGTGTGCACCTGTGTCTCCTTTCCTGATGTCAGATGGTGCTCTGTGTTACTATTCATAGGATTTTCATTGGTCGACATCCCTACACAATGAGCTGTTGTCACATGCTACTCTGCCATGCCCTTGACAGCACATGAGGTTGTTTTCTGACATTTTCATGTGGATGGGAGATATTTAAAAAACAAACAAACAAAAAAAAAAACAACAGAAAAAAATACAGAAAAATCTTTGTTTTAAAAAATACTTGTTTGTTCGTACAGCAGTCCCTCGCTATAACGTGGTTCACTTTTCACGGCCTCGCTGTTTCGCAGATTTCTTTTTGCATGCTTTTTTTTTTTTAAAAGCGCATTGTGTTCTGCGTCCTGATTGGCTGCACACCATTGTCAGTCAATCTCGTGTCGTGTCTCCTGTACTGTACAGAATGCTTTCAACTTGTCAAATTTACATAAATCTTCGATCGCTAGCAATGTGATTCTGAAGTGCTGTACTGTATGTTTTATCCCCAACAAACACAAGAATGTTGACGAAACGTTTTGCACGGTCAAAGGCACCTATGGTAGCATCCAAAAGGCAGAGGACGATGCTAACCATCGCACAGACAGTTGGACTTCTGGACATGCTAAAGGAAGGTAGAAGTTACCGTATTTTTCGGACTGTAAGGCACGCCGGATTATAAGGCGCATTAAGTAAAACTAAACAGTCAGAAAAGTCAATTCATTCTTCTTGCTTTCTCCACTTCCATACGACTGATTCATTATTGTTGAATTCTCTCACAGCTGCTCTATTCTCATGTTCTGGACCTGAAAACAGGGTTTGATCTTTGGTTTCATTCCATAATACTTGACTTATTTTTCTACGGTTTGAACTTTGAGAGTGTTTAAGAGAAAAGTGTGAAAATGTTTATGCCTGTCTGAGAAAAGTGTATAAAGTGTGTAGTGAGGGGTTTTACAGCCTTAAAACATCTATAATAATTGTAAAAAAAATAAAGTTGGCTACTTTGCGAATTTCACCTATCACAGGTTATCATTGGAACGTAACTCGCGCAATAAACGAGGGACCACTGTACTCCGTAACAATGATAAGATATGATACTAAACTGCCAGAATATTTGAATTCATATTGTTCTCTACCTCTGGCTGGGTTGTCACACCCTGGTTTTGTGAGGCGACAATACATCAGGTCCAGTGAAAGGAGCAAATGTACCATCACTGGTTTCAAGTCCCACATTGCATTGTTGCAATGAATGTGTGCTAGAAAGAAGTGTGATACACTGGTATGTAATTGTCTTCAGAAAAATAAGACCTTCAGTTGCTTGGCGAAAGATGGTGCACATTCAAAGGCATGTGTTGAGTGGTTTGAATGTAATTCAAGGTCTTTTTTTAGCTTGTTCTAGAGAATCTTTGGCATGAAGCTGAAAGCACATGCCCAGTTCCCCTTAGATTCAGGTTCAGGATACTTTATTTGTACCTGTAGGTAGATTTGGTTTGCAGTGGATGAGTCATCCTTTCTCACATGCACAATTTTCAAGACAACACAGAAAACACAGAGCCGCTTCAACATCATCTACATTTTGTTCATTTAAATGATAGCTGCTGAAAAAAAGCTACTTTTACATAGTTTAGATTTTATTGTTCTGCATTTGGGTTAATGCATTTATGGACATAATAATAATAATAATATTATTAAATAATACTGTATCTGGATCAGTAAAACAGCTCAACGCTATCATTGCATTCTTTCTAGAAAACTGTGACATGGTCACTGATATATGCATCTTTATTATCTAACTAAATTGATAAGTCCTAGTTCTAAGTGACCTTGTAAATGAAATATTTAAAGCTCTAATTCCTGACCCCCCACTTCTTAAAAACATCAAACTGGGTACGATTATGGGTAGTTTTTATCCTGATCTTTATCTTGGCACCGGGTTACAGTCAACAGTTGTGCCGGGACAGACAGAGAAGCAGTTGAAAAGAGATGCACACAGTCACATATACAAACACGACAACACAAATATACAGAGGGAGAAGTTCCCACTCATTTTAATCAAAAGAACTCACCCGGAAATGCCGTTCCCAAGGGGGATCTGTCTGTTTTTGTACAGATGTCACGTGATAACTAAAATATTGTTAGGTTAGGGCAGCTGACATTATGTCTGGTAACTGGGTAACAGTCAACCTAATTCAGCCTTTAACTGCAAGTATGAACATGTTTTAGTGAACACACACTTCACTATCGGTACCAACAGATTTTTATTTGTTTTTTTAAAGCCCTCAACAGAAATGGTCTCAGTGGAGACGTGGCTGTAAAGAAGTCATTCTTAAGGAAGGAAAAATGGAGAAAAGGCTAAGGTATGCAGAACTACACAAGAACTGGACTGATGAGTGATGAATTTAAGTGTAAAATCTTTGGTTGATATCAGGAGGAGGCTCTGTCATGGTTTGGAGCTGAATTTCAGCCAGTGGTGTTGGAGATCTGTCAAAACGATTTTTCATGTGTAAAAGTACCACCAGGTTTTTATCCACCATTAAATACCACCTGAAAAGCATTTGCTGCCTTGTTCCGCATTACAATGATCCAAACATACTGCCAATGCAGTAAAAGCATGCCTAGATAGAAAAAAAACACAGTGGAACACCATCAGTAATGGATCGGCCTCCTCAGAGCCCGGACCTCAACAGCACTGAAGCAGTGTGGGATCATTTAAAGGGGGTCAGCATGCAAAGAAGAGCTTTGTCTTGAACTATTCCTGAAGACTACTAAAAAATTCCCAGAGAGAATTCAGGTAGTGTTGAAAAATAAAGGTGGTCGTACCAAATATTGACTATCAAGCTCATTAGAAATGTACAAACTGTGTTTTTGCCTTAGATACTGTATTTCCATATATTTTTATGAGCGTTTCAATTCAAGAACTTGTTCCACCCATTTCCCCCTTTTCCAAAATGTAAATATGAAGGGTAGTCTGAGACTGTTGCACAGTACTGTATATGCTAAATGAGCTTAACCATTGCAAATAGACCTCATTTTAGCCAAAATGTCCCTTGAGCCCTACTCCTGCTTGTAGACAGCAGGCCCACTGAACAAGATAAAGTGTAATTAGAAGAGGCTTAATGGCCTTGGGAGGGATTCGCATTAGAGCTGCACGTCGACCGTGCAAATGACTCCCTAGAACACAACTGTATATTTTGTGTTTTGAAATGCTACGATATTAATGATTATAACTTGCAATCTTACAGCAGTGTTCTTGCAGTTATGCTCACTGAACCCTGTTTTTTAAAGTCATTCATTTGTTTTCATTAATGATTTATTTTCTGTTATGAGATGCTGTTGTACCCATGAATATTTTCTCCATTTTAGCACAAGGTTTAAGCAAAGGATTTACAAGCATGCATGGAATAATGGTGCGTCATTGTGTGCTTTGGCCTAATGTCGTGCAGTTACTGTTTGCTGATTTGTTGTCCACAAAGTTGCATGTAAAATGAAAGCAGGTCAACATTTGGTCAGTTGCACTCTTTTATGTGCTCATAGGGGAGAAGGGGAGGCAAAAGAGGAGGGGATATCACAGATCTTCAGAAGCAGATAGAGAGGTTCTGTATACACAAGTAGCAATACAAACAGGAGATCCAGGCTCGATAAGAAAATTAAGGGAAAGGGTGCAACTCAAATAAGCCGAAATTGATACACCAACGGACGAATGAGTCTCTCTCGCTTCCTCGTGAAAGCGCCCTCGTTGTCACTTGGAGAACAACAGAGGAAGATGAATGTCGAGGGACGGCTACAGAGGCACATCATTTGGATATTCAGACAGGCATTCTTTGGATTTTCTCATCAGATTTGGATACAGGGCTAAATACAACCTGTCAAAAATTGTAAGAATTTTCCTTTGTCTGAGGCTGTGAGCTTCTGGCACCCAGACAAGATACCGGTGGACTTTTGGATCAAACACGGCTTGTCATTTTAGATGCGAGGGACAATCGCTACACCCTAAGGCAATTGCAGGTTACGGTGCAGCGAGAACACCCAGAGGTGGTTGAAAAATTGTGACTTGGGTGTGTGAGTTATGCACTTCTGTGGTGGACAAGTGAGGCAGAGCATCCACAGACATTCAGATGGATACAGAGTGTTTGTGAGGTGGTTGTTGAATGCATGGTGAGAAGACAAGAAAGGATTTAAGTTTTGCTTTATGTGAAAGATCAAGACGTGTGGAAGAACCTTATTCTTTTTTTTTCTCATATGAAAAAGAAGTTTTCACCTTGAAGTAGCCTTTTATTAAGCAGGAAAAAGTAAGTATAGGTCGCCATGGTAATGGTATTGGATTTTTACTTTTGAGTTACAGGCAGCTTCGAAGGATCAATGAAGGAGCTGGAACAATCCAAAGAGCTGACCTGGGATTTTGACCAATCCTGGAGTTCATTCCTAACACCAGCTGCACGCCTCTGTCTCAACACCTTGGATTTTTCTGACCTCTGGGATGAGGAAGACAGCACAGAGGATGAGGGAACCCTAACAACTATCAAATCATCAATTTGTCTCCGAGAACCTCCGGCGCCCCCTCCTCTTCCTCCCCCACCTCCCCCTCCTCCTTCTCTCGCCTCACCTTTGCCCTCTGCTTCACCTAAAGATGGTATCGTTAAGTCTCGCACTTTGAAGCTTCACTGGAGGGAGCTGCAGAATCTGGCACCGCTCCCCAGGATGACACGCTTTGGGACTCAGACCATTTGGGCCGGACTCGAGCCGGTGAATTTGGATAAAAAACATCTGGAGTACTTGTTTAAGTCTAAAGCCAATGGCAGCAGTCTGAACATTGTTTCAGGGCGGCAGGTGAGACTGATGACAGAGACGTCCTTTTGTTCATTCATCCATGTAATTCTGGTTTTCAAATAGCTACAAACTGATGTACATTATATAGATTAAAATGCCTTAAATCCTTTTTTATTCCGCCTCAACACAGAAGCAGCCATCAATATCGGTGTTGGGAGTGAAGCGCAGCAACATCATAACTATTGCCCTGAGCAGCTTGCCCCCTCCGCGCCTCCTCCCACCTGCTATCTACAGCATGGACAGCTGTGTGTTAGAAAGAGAGGACATTCAGGTACAGTAAAGGGTAAATTGCCCAGATTTCGAGCTAAAGCATTTTTGTTTGATGAACTACCCAGCAATACCCAGGTAAAATAAAAAGGTTACAGACTAGGTCTGAGATAATCTGTTCTACGCTCATTCCAAAACAGCGTCTTCAGGCACTGATCCCGACTGAAGAGGAACTCTGCCTGATCAAAGAGGCCAAGGCCCAGAACCCTAATGCCTCTCTGGCACCGGCTGAGCTTTGCCTCCTCACTTTGGGGGAAATCCCCCACTTGAGCACCAGGCTTCAGCTTTGGGCCTTTGCTCTGGATTACGACTCCTTGGAGAGGGTAAATAAAAATCCAATCATTTCCCACTCACAGATCATTACATAATGAAGCTTTGCCAATACCCCTTGGTGCCACATTTTTATGCAATAGGTACTCCTTTAGCACTCCATCAAACATTTAAGATATTCCCATAGACTTCAGTAAGTCTATAAATAGTCTGGTTTTATCAGTGTTCCTGGATGCATAACAGTGATAACCAAAGAACGGAGAGAGAAGCTTGTTGCAGATGGAAGAAGCTTGCATGAAAGTTGCCTAAAAAGGAGCAGCCAAGGCAAGCTCCTCTCCTTGTTTTTCTATGGCACGCCACCACTCCCACCCATGTGCAGTTTTCATTGCTTGCATTCATGCAGTATCATGGTACACTTTGAACAACACACAATATGTCAGAAAATAACACATAAAATGTAATCAAATATGATAAACTACACTTTAGTGCATAGTTTGGAGAACCGCAAATAATGTCTTGCAAAGTTGAATGAAAGTGCAGGACACTGCACTTATACAAACTAACACAGGTTCTGCAGGGCAAAAACACCACTATGATGACTTCTCCTAATACATCACCTGACTAAAAATAAAAGATGGATGTGATGGCTCAACTATTCTATGTGAACCACCAAAACGGCCTCTAAATGTATACTCCTCTTAAAAAGGAAATTGCTGAGCCTCTCTTCCATCTGAAGTTGGGCATGGAACAACTGGCAGCCAGCCAGACCTTCAAGTATATCCTGGCGACAGTGCTAGCGATCGGTAACTTTCTCAACGGATGTAAGGTGAGTGCATTCCCACGCAAGCTTGATTTTATCCATCTTTCCATTATTTCTTACAACACATTGTTTTATCCCAAGGCCCGTGGTTTTGAGCTGAGTTACCTGGGGAAGCTGTCTCAGGTAAGGGACACACACACTCGCCAGCCCCTGCTGCACCATGTCTGCGTGTTACTGCTGCAGCTCTATCCAGAATCCTCTGACCTCTACTCGGACATCACCGCGGTTACTAAAGCTGGAAAGGTGTGTGGCTGCATCTGTGGATTTGCATTTGTCCAACACAGCTGATTCATTCTGAAGATCACTTATAGAGTCAGTTAAACCAGCAAACTGTGGAAAGCACAAAAACCTTCTCTTCTCTTTACAGTGTGACTACTCCCAAGTCCAGTCCAACTTTACCCAGCTGGAGAGCCTGTGCAAAGCATCATGGGAGCAGGTGAAGCTGCTGAATAAAGCTGACGAAAGGAGGAAAGGAGGAAAGGGGGAAAAGATGAAAGGGATAGGTGATGAGGGCCTGGCCCCGGACGGTTTGCTCCGTCACAGGCTTCCGAAGATTCTGAAAGAGTGTGAGGAAAGGCTGAAAGTCCTAAGAGCCGTCCATCGTAGGGTTATCAACAGGTACTCTAATCATATTTTAAATTATATTTGTTAGCAAACAAAACATTTCCCATCTCAGTCCTTACTCACACAGGCCAAGTACTTTTTCAAGTTTCACTGCTACTTCCTGAGCAGTGGGGACTATTTGTACAGAAGTTTTCCATACAAAGTGTACACATCCACAGCAGTCTGCTAGCAATACAAGGAAAAGCACAAGGAAGTTTTCATTGCAGCATCTTAGGCTTCTTTGTGATAAATTTTATCTGAAAGTTCTTTAGCAATTGGTGGTTTCCAGGAGGCCATGGATCTGCCAGTGGGTATGGCAGACTGACTGACTCCTCAATCAACAAGTCATTGCTTACACCGTTATTATTTTTTTTCTAGGTTCCACTCTTTTCTCCTGTTCCTTGGCTACTCCCGGGCCATGGTGAGGGACACCAAACCGGAGGACTTCTGCAAAACCATCAGTAACTTTTCCCTGGAGTACAGGACCATCCAACAGGCTATCCTACTGCAGAGAGAAAGAGAGCGGGAGCGACAGAAAAATGCGACCGAAAGCCCGGGTCCAAACACCCCTGTAGGAAAAAGAAAAAATCAACAAACTCCATCAAAGGTTATGACACTAAATTAATTTCTACAAAAATATTATACAGTCAATTTGGGGGGTATGAGGGCACTATTTTATTAATCCATTCATACTCCTCCAGGACAATGATGAGCAGGGTAGGCTGGAGGAGGTACTGAGAACACCCGAGTCCATGTCAAGATTGGATGTCACTTTGCCTCGAAACCGGAAGAGGATGGCTGACCTCCAAGGTACTTTATATAATATGCTCATTC